GGCGAAACGTTAGGAAAAACCACCTTCAGAACACGGCCAAGAAGCCCAAAAAACCCACAACAACCATAAGATGTAGAGGAGCTTTGGAAAGAAATCCGGCTTCATGAGGAGGCTTCTAAGAAGGATCTTGCTTGGTTCCCCCCCTTCCTACATGTCCCTGAGAGAAGCGTAAAACCAACCAGCCCATAAAAATCAATCTGTTTTGATAACCTCCATCAGCATACTTTCTGCCAAGCTGCGCTCTGGTTGACGCTGGCTTGTCTAAGCAATAAAACCACCTTATTTATGACTTTGCTTCATGGCAGGGGAACGGAATCTCTTTACCCCCACCCAGTCTGTGTTTTGAAATGCTGCCTGGTTCTGGTTGAATACTCTCAGGTCGGGCTAATACTGTGATGGGGAAAAGAGACGCGGCATGGTCTCCTTCATTTACGGCAGTGGTTCTCAGCCTTGGGTCACCCAGATGTTCTTGGACTGCAGTTCCCAGAAACCCCGGCCATCGCAGCTGGTGGAGAAGCCTTCTGGGAATGGCAGTCCCAGAACATTTGGGTTTCCCAAGGTTAGGAACCACTGCTTTATGGTTAGAAAGAAACAGTAGCCCTGATAGTGGAGCTTTTAAACTGGAATAAAAAACAGTGGCCTCTCCTTTTAGCAAATAAAAGATGAGCAAATAATCTTAAGGTAGCCAACGGAAAGATTTCAAGAGGACTGGGCTGGTGGGAGCAAGGTTGCGACTGCATCTAAAGCAACATGATTTGTCCAGATGGTCAGTCGCATTGAAGTGTCTTGGGAGAGCCCTTTTGATCACAGATCTCTTCCCCTGTCTTCTCCCCCCCCCACACACACTTGGTAGGTGGAGAAGCTGGCTAGGACTTTATTCCTATGGAAGATTGACGTCCATGATCAGAAAGAACGTGTCTATGAGATGAGACGCTGGAACGAGGCCCTGGTCACCAACATGCTGCCGGATCACGTGGCGCGACACTTCCTGGGCTCCAAGAAACGGGATGAGGTGAGCACCGGCGGGAGGAGACCGGGCTGCTGAAGCAAGGGGGGGGTCCTCCCGTCACCTGGCTAGTGGGCAGATTCAGGTTTTTTCTGGACAGTATCCCCCCCCCAAAAAAAGACCCCACAAAATTTGCAGGCTTCTGTTTGTAATCCAAACTATCTGGAATGCATCCGCTTGGGGAAGGAGGGGCCATTTTTGGAGGGTGGTGGGCCGGTTTTCAACTCCCAAGAAGCCTCTGAGGGCTGCAACCAGCTTTTGAACCAAAACTGACAGCGGTAAGAAGTCTACCACAGGTCCCAAACCCACACTTTCAAATTACAATAAGACCCTCATATCTATGGAGGATCGGTTCCAAGCCTTCCCCTCACTCCCCCGTGGATGCTAGAAAACAGATTATAGCAAACACTTTTTAAAAAAGTGAATGCTATGCATAGTATGGTATCTCAGTCCTTCTAGTGGCCAGTTCTGGTAACTTCATTTTTAGAAAAATGTACAGTATTTCTAGGATTTTTCAATACTTTCAGACCATGAAAATAAGTGGATAAGTGAATCAGCAGATACAGGGCGTGTGTGTCCTACTATATTTTGACCTTAGAAAAAACAAACCAACAAGAAGTGTATTATTCAGATCCCTACTAACGTCAACTCCAAAATCAACGGTTAGACCCTTGTCTACTGTTCTTTTTTCCCTCCTTCACATGCAGGAACTGTACAGCCAGTCGTACGACGAGATCGGCGTCATGTTTGCCTCCATCCCAAATTTTGCCGACTTCTATACAGAGGAGAGCATCAACAACGGCGGGATTGAGTGCCTGCGCTTCCTCAACGAGATCATCTCGGATTTCGATGCCGTGAGTCTTCCCAGCTCGGCAGGAAAGGGCCATCTGTCGCGGCTCAGTTTTTGGGCCCCAAAGGGAATCCGTTCTCCTTCCGAGGGCCTGCTTTGGAGGAGGGATATTTCATGGGTTTGGTTACGACTTCCTCCTTTCTTCGACCAGCCCTCCTATATATAGGGAGGTCTCTTTGGGGATCTTGGCTGAGGGAGAAACAGTTGGGAAAGCAGAGTTAGCTTGAGCTAAGGCTCGGCCTCGGAGTCGGGGTTGTGTGCCAGCACCGTATCGGAACCCGCTGAGGAAATCAACAGGACCACAGTTGCTCCGCTGCATCCATAAAAGGACTAATTGCACATCCTAAAACAGAAGCATTAGCTGGTCTATTTAGCTTCCTAGTGAGCGTCTCCCATTTGAAAACATAGAGGAGGCTGGCTTGTGTGGAAGTAACTCTGTACCTAGAGGTAGCACATTTGGAAAGCTAAGGCCAAATGACTCATTTAACTTTGTGTAATGCCATGGAGCTTTGAGGTTGTTGTTGGGTTTTTTTAGGAGAGCAATGGCAGGGTTTATATCCCCTTCAGACAAATAACAGTTCTGGCAGGGGGGGCTGGGCTGTCACAAATACCTTTGCCCCCAGTGCTAATCAGAACTTGGAGAGTTCATTACAGTTACAATGCTCGGGTACCAAACAGCAACCGTTTGCTACGGTTTTTAGCAAGAGAACTTTGTATTTCATTAATAATTAACCTTATTAGTTACAGTAGGACCCCAATGTCCAGTGGGGATTGGTTCCAACCTCTTCCCCCCCCCATGGATACTGAAAACCATGAATAATAGGAAGCAGTGTATATATGTAAGGTAATGGCTCCCCTGGACATTTAGTCCAGTCGTGTCCGAATCTAGGGCATGGTGCTCATCCCCGTCTCCAAGCCGTAGAGCCAGCGTTTTTCCCTAGACAGTTTTTCTGTGGTCATGTGGCCAGTGCGACTAGACACGAAATGCCGTGACCTTCCCACCGAGGTGGTACCTATTTATCTACTTGCATTTACATGCTTTCGACCGGCTAGGTTGGCAGGAGCTGGGACAAGCGACGGGAGCTCACTCCGTCACATGGATTCGATCTTATGACTGCTGGTTTTCTGACCTTGCAGCACAAAGGCTTCTACAGTTTAACCCGCAGCGGCACCACGTCCCTTTAGTATATATGCACAGCATCATAAAAGTTAAAAAAAAACTGGAAAAAAAACCCTTCATATGCATTACCAGAACTGCCCACTAAACGACTCCAGAGACCATGCTATGTAATTCTTCACTCTTCCTAAGTATTCATAGCAAGGTCTCTGACTCTCTCTAGTGGCCGGTTCTGAAAATACACATGAAAAGTTTTTTCGGGATTTTTTTTTCTTTTAATTTTTTTAATATTTTCACAACAGAGCACAAAGCACAGGATAAACCAGTGGATGAACCATATGATATTGTCTTACTTTTCACTAGGCCTTATCTGTACAACAATAAAATTAATACTTTCCTTTATTATGTTATACTGGCTGAAATCCTGCTCCTTAGTGTAAATACATCTGAACTGTTGTTGTTTAGTTGTTAAGTCATGTCCGACTCTTCGTGACCCCATGGACCAGAGCACGCCAGGCCCTCCTGTTTTCCACTGCCTCCCAGAGCATAATGCAAGGGAGACAGCTCCTCCATATGTTCCATCAATTCAGCAGGCCTACTGTAGTTGCAATACTGCCCTAAGGATCAGAGATTTCAACCAGTTAGTTACAGTTTTAATGGAACATAGTTGTACCTTGGTTGTACAAGTAATGAGCTACTTCCACACTATCCTGCCACAGCTCTGACAGCATTTTGATATAGTGGATGGGTTGACCGTCTGTTGTGAATATTGGTGTGCTGCTCTCTCAGCCTGAAAGCTTTCAGAAGGGCTTCCCAGACTCTCATAGTGATTATGGGCCAGGGGTTGCTTTAATTCCTGATTCTTGCAGCTCCTGGACGACCCCCAGTTCCGGTGCATCACCAAGATCAAAACCATCGGCAGTACCTACATGGCAGCTTCTGGTGTGACCCCAGATGCCAACACCAACAGTTATAACAACGCTGTTAAGGTAAGCGGAGAAAGGAGGGGAAAGGTTAAGATTTCTGCTGATCTAAGCAGGACTTAGATGTCATTTTAGAAGTAATGTGTTACAGTTAATGTGTATTAACCATGATGGACAATACACCCCCCTCTAATGGCTTGGATTCTGTCAGGATTTGGCGACAGGAAAATGTGCAGAGTTAATTGAAGACACTTACACATTCTTCTTCTTTAGCAAGACGGGTGTATTTACAATATTTACAAGTATATACAGGCTGGCATCACTTCAGGAAATCATTAAACAAACCGGCATAGAGGATAGCAGCAAGTGATAGAGAGAGAAGAGAAATCTATGAACACACTGTTCACTTATATACATATACAAGGCTTCTTTAGTCCAATCAGAAGACACATTACATCATCTTCTGCACCTGGGTGTCTTCTCATCTTCAGATATTGCATCATCTCCTCAGCAGTCACAGTGACAGCATACACACATCTGTTCACAATGGCAGCTCATTAATAACACATTTATCCAGGTTCAGGCCTATCAAAATTACAATATCCTGACAGATTCCCAGTGCGGTATGGTGGAGAGAGTGACGTGCTAGGGCTCAGGAGAATAGGGTTCATATCCCTGGTCTGCCATGGGAACTCACTGAGGGAGTGGAACTGGTAAAACCACTTCTTAAATACTGTATCTCACTTCAGAGTTCTTGAAGTTGGTTCTGACTTGACAGCATAGAATGTGCACGCTTGTTGCTTGCCGTATTGCTCATTATATCAAGTTTTTTACTTTTAACAGTTTACAGTTACGTGCACACGTTCACGCCTTTTAAGACTGAAAGAACGGCAGCTGTCTCTAAAATTCCAAAAATGCTCTCAAAAACTAATTAAGAAGTAATAAGAAGAGGTTACTTTTTAAAAAGGTAGTTTCCTCACTTGTCAGAAAACTTCAATGAAGCTTGTCTTCAGTGTCCCAGATAACGCACAAGTTAAATTTATTTCCTGTAACCAATGGTGTCACAGACCCAGGGCCTGCAGGACTGTGGCGCCAATTAGCCATGCCCCCCCCAAGGCTTTGCTTGTCCATCTGATGTTAGTGACAATCATCACAGGCGCTGGGGGGGGGAACAGATTTCCCCAGCAACAGGATATTGTTGCGTCACGCTACCTTTATGGTCGTGCCAAGCGTCTGAGAGCAGGTTGGCTTTCAAAAGCCTATGAACCATGAACTTCCCAGGACACTGGTCTCTTCATGGGTCGACATGCACCCACCCAGCTGCTTCATTTTTTTTGAATTCTCCTTTTTTGGGAGGAGAGTCTGTGGTGGACTATCAAGATAAAAGCTCACAATTCACTTCCAGATTTTCCACTGCCCAAGGCCTGTAACTTGCGAGTTCTGGCTACAGGAACCCATACGTGCATGCTGATAATCAATATACATCAGGGGGCCACCCTGAATCATCTCTCGCCCCCCGATTGCTCAAGTCCGGCTCCCTCCAGACTTGCTTAGCAACAAAGAAGGCGGTTAGTTCAGCCATCAGTTTAGCCACGTTGCAAGAGCTGCCTGCTTTAAAACATTACCGTCTGCGCGTACATTCATTTAATTTTTGAAATGCATTAATCCGTTCAATTCCTTGATCGTGATTCATGAATTTAGTTCCCAGAAACTCTTTTAAGGTCATGGTGAAGCTACGCCGTAGACCAGGACTGGCCTTCCAAAATGTTTTGGATGCACCGGGGGGTGGTGATGGGGGGAGGAAGGGCTTAGAACCGGAGAGCTTCGAAGATGTCCTTCGCGGCAGGGGTGTGCGTTTCCCACCCCGCTCCACTTCAGGGAGCTTCAGCTCTTCTGCTTTTTTTTTGTTTTGCCCTTTGCTCTCTTCAGAAAGAAGATCTTTCCGAAAAAGAGCGCTGGCAACACTTGGCGGATCTCACAGACTTTGCCTTGGCCATGAAAGAGACCTTGATGAACATCAACTACCAGTCCTTCAATAACTTCATGCTGCGAATAGGCAAGTTTGACCCCCTCCCCCCGGGTTGGCTTGCTTCCCTTGGAGCGCCTTCAGTTGCTTGGAGCCACCTTTGGAAAGAAAACAGGAAGAGAAGGACGTTGGGCATTTTCCACCTAGAGAGCGAAGAGGCTTCTCTGCTCCCTTGTAATAGGAGAATGTGGGGTCAAGCCAGTGAAATGGGTTGGCATCAGATTCTGGGCGAACAAGGAGAAGTCTTGATTCACTCGATGCACAGCCCGCTTAGGGAAGGGAGCATCGTAAAGGCGTAGCGGTAGCCTCTGGCTGAGTGTTGTTTTAAAATTAAGGCTCAGAGGAGTTGTGGGTATAAAGTTCAGTCACTCTGTGGAGTATTCCACACTGGAGTTACCATCCATATTCTACCTTTGAACCACAGCGTCTGGGACGCAACCACCCCATCCCCTGCTTCTGGGCTTCCAGGAGGCATGGGGTGGGCCATGGTGGAATGCCGGGATGTAGTTGGTCCAATCTGGCAGGACCCATCTGCCTTCCCATTTCCTCTGAACAGCTGACCCATGTCGGTGTGTAAAAAGTGCCCCCAGGGAAACCGAGCTTAAACTTAGAGACCTTTGGGTAGTGTGGGCAGCATATAAGTTAATAAATAAATCAATAAATTTGCATGCCGTTCTCTTTCTTCACACGGTGACGGAAGGCATGAACAAAGGAGCCGTCCTGGCTGGAGTCATCGGTGCCCGCAAGCCACACTATGACATTTGGGGGAACACGGTGAACGTGGCCAGCCGGATGGAATCGACGGGCGTCATGGGAAACATACAGGTGAGGGGGGTCCCCCTCATTTTCTTGCCATGACAGGAGGGGACGGGATGAGAATGAACTGCCTTTGCCCATGAGTGAAGGTGAACCACGGGATTTAAGGAAAAGCCCACATTTCCAGGGAATACTCGTGGCATTTTGACACGGACTCCTCACGCACCCCAATGCCCATGCCATAGGGATAGAGGGGTGTGCTTTCTAGGAAATACCCACGGGGTTTTACAGGGCCCCGTTTAAAGTGAGACTGTGCCGTAAGATCATTTGTGGTGGGTGAGCGAGGGAGTGAGTTGTCTCTCTTGGCGATGTGTGTTCATGCTACTGGTCTTCTCGTTGAGAGGATAAATTTCTTAGGAAGCCCAAGAGTTTTCTACAGATGAAGCGGAAAACCGTATTTCAGGAGCATATGCAGAAAAGTAGTGGCATCGCTTTTTGATCTTCTCTTAAACATTTCCTACCCACCTGACTTTCCGGCACACCTTTTAGCAGTTGCAGAAACTTGCAGGGTGCCACGCAAACATTTGAGCCAGAACAGTCACCAGAAATTGGCTGATAAGATAGTTTTGGTATCCTTATTTACCTTCCCCTAATGGGGCAAGATAATGATGTTGGAAGTATACAGGGGGAAAACTCCCCCCCCATATCCTCAGGATTAGTATCTGCAGTTCGCCTGCAGCCCTATATAAAACATACCACAGTGGCCCTTATCCCACACTTTTGTATGTTGTATAGGGTTCCCTAGTATCCACGGTTTCAGGCATTCACGGAAGATTGTGGAACCAGTCCCATGTGGGTCCTACTGTAATTTACAGCTGCTAAAAACCTCAGAGGTTCAAGAGTTCCAGTCCAATCCAGATGATTTCTTGTGGGTTAAAACGTGTTTTCCTTGGCCTGTATGACCCAATGGCGTAAAACTTTTCTGGAAAGCAGAAAGATTTTGGTATAGAACCACACTTCAGTCTATGGGGAATTACCTAAGTACAGGCAGTTCAGCCTCTCAAGAGTCATTCCAGGATGGAAAAATAACGTTTGTGAGAGCCCCTGTCACCTGCTTTTTCAGCCAGAGAACGAGACGTTTGGGTGGGTGGTTGTCTCCAGCAAGGGCCCCCTGAGACTGGTTGGAAAGTCTTGGTCCTCTTGGATCAAAGTTTTGGAAAGTGTCATCCACGCGTTCCCTTGCCTTTTCAGGTTGTGGAAGAGACCCACCTCGTCCTGAAGGAGTACGGCTTCCGCTTCGTGCGCCGAGGGCACATCTACGTCAAAGGCAAAGGCGACCTGCTGACGTACTTCATGAAAGGGCGCGAGAAGCAGGGCTCCTTCGTCAACGGCTCCTGCGTGACCCTGCCCCACCAAGTGGTCGACAGCTCTTGAGCCGCCCCCCCTCGGGCTGTGCATGCCAATCACATGGGGGGGAAGAGCCGGTGCTCCCCCTGCGGCCTGCCTGAAGGCACCACCGTTTTCAGCACCTGGGGTTTTAGGTGGAGATGATGGTTTTATCCCACACCAACACCGTTAGAGTTACAGAAAGCCTGTCCCTTTCTTTCCAAAGGTTTGTTGTTAGTAGAGAGGCTCCCTTTACCGCAGGTGCGTCCGCAGTCGCCTCTTGATGTAAACGTGGGGGAGTGGGAAAAGCCGTGTCCGGGGGAACGGGTCTCTGCCCCCGGCGCCCACGTGGCCTTCTTTGGGTTCGGAAGTGCACAACCGCCTCCGCCGCGCCACTTGCGTAGATTGCCTGCGTTCTCTTTTTCAGTCCCAATCATGAGCCCATGGCTGATGGTTTCAGTTTTCCATAGACTCGATTTCGGCACAGAGTTTTGCTAAAGTAAACGCAAACTCCGGGTTTGGGTACGAACCGCTACCGCTTGGGCTGTCTGCCCCTGGTTCCCAGGAGAGCTTTACCCTCTTCTCGAAACCCCTGGAGGAAAGGAGGAGAAAGTAGGGAGGGGAGAGGAAAGGACCACGTGCAATCTGTTCCATTTAAATCTGAGATGTCCTGTTTCAGATCTGTTAAAATATGAATAAATTTATATAAAGAGATGCAGATTATATTTTTAACTGTCTTAACCTGAAAGCGAGCCGCCTCTAAATCGTGACGCCTTGCAACCTTTCGCTGCTCTCACCTCTACTGATGCTTTAAAAGGGAGAGAGTGATCTGGTTCCCAGACTGTTTTTTTAAACTCAACGGCTTTGTCGGGTTATGTTGGAAGGAAGGAATGTAATCAGTTTCTTTAGTTTCTCGAATAGAAATCTGTTCAATTTTAAAGTTGTGCCGTGTCTTATTTTCCTGTTGGATGAAGAGAGGGCCCGCTTGGGCCACAGAAGGCATTGACCTCACAGCTGCAGATGCTTGTGTGTGTGTGTGGGGGAAGGACAGTGCAGCTGTTCCTGCTGGATGAAACCTAAGAGGAATTTAACACATCAGATGTGAAGACTGTGGGGGTTTTTTTGGACTGGGGGGGGGAGGAGGAATCCTTTCACGTGCTTTGCAGTCCCAGCCCTACAGAAGCTCAGCTCAGGTAAGGCATCAGGAGAGCCTCTTACACGTTTCCTTACGGGATCAGTATCCACTGATTCACTTATGCACCGTCTGAAAATATTGAAAATATTACAAGAAAAAAAATCCAAGGAATATATATTGCTAAAGTTACCAGAACTGGCCACTCGAGAAGGAGCCAGGGTCCATGCTTTGTATGGCGGTCACTATTAATACACTGTTAGCTATAATCTGTGTTTCAGCATCCACGGGGTGGGAGGGCTTTGAAATGATGCCTGGTGGATAGGGGGGTCCTGCGGTACCTCTGCTGCATTACAAGGGCTTGACTGATTCTATCCGTTTTATAAAATTTAACACAGGTTAGCTATTCTCATTTCCTAAGCCAGTGAAGTAAACCTGTTAAAGGCTAGAGTCTAGCCTTTCTCTCCCCTCACAGCCACATAGCCAAAGGTAAAGGTTCCCCTTGACATTTAGTCCAATCGTGTCCGACTCTCGGGGGTGGTGCTCATCTCCATTTCCAAGCCGTAGAGCCAGCGTTTGTCCAAAGACAATTTTCCGTGGTCACGTGGCCAATGCGACTAGACACGGAACGGCGTGAGCTTCCAATGAGGTGGTACCTATTTATCTACTTGCATTTTTAACATGCTTTCGAATGGCTAGGTTGGCGGGAGCTGGGACAAGCATCGGGAGCTCACTCCATTGTATGGGTTCGAGCTTACAACGGCTGTTCTTCTGACCTTGTAACACAGAGGCTTCTGCGGCTTATGATTTGTTTATTTAAAATATTTCTGTGCCGCCTTTCGCCCCAAAAGGACCCAAGGCAGCTTACATTACTAAAACAGTCTTTAAAAGCTAAAACAGTTAGTCCTTAAGCAAGGACTATATTAAAATTATAACAGATCAATATTAAAACATATTTGAAACAAGAGCACAACAGTCCATTTAAAACCCTTCTCCATCCAGAAAGGAAGGATCTTTTACACGGCTCAGTGGAGAGATGGCAAGGCGATATTTATATATGTGTATATGTCGTGGTGTGTGTGTGTGTGTGCGTGCGTGCGTGCGTGCGCTTAGCCACAGTTACTTCTTGTGCTCTGTTGTTGGAATGGAGATCAGCTTAGCCACAGTTAATTCTTGTGCTCTGTTGTTGGAATGGAGATCTCTAAGCAGCCCAGCCCACCATTTAAAAACAAAACAAAACACCTTCCTTTTTACTCAGTTCCTTTTCTTGTTGCTCCACTAACGACCGAACCTTAGGTGGAGGGAGGGGGAAATCGGCCAAGCAGACGACATCTGTAGCATCCTACAGACAAATACCCATTTTCCAAGCACGGGCCCCTTTGTAGCCAACATGGCCTCGTACCTGCACACAGGGAAAGGAGGCACCAGCAGGCTAAGGGAAATGCACCAAGACCTGCAAAAATAGAGAACAAAAATCGGGGTGGGGCGGGGCAGGGAGATGCCCTCACAAGACAGGCGTGTGGGCTCAGGGGCTGCCACCTGCCGTTGCCAGTGGGAAGAGAAAGTCAGGAAAGGAAATGGAACCGAGGGACTCGGAAAAGAGCATCGTGAACCGAAGCCTCTCATGCTGCAACATTTTGCTGCTGATCCTACATGGCTCCTCCCCAGTCTGTAAGCACTTCGAAGTCCTTGCGGGCCAGGACTGAATTTTCAGTAGCGACGAATCGACATATACATATATATATTGTTCTTCCAAGGAGTCAATGGAGGAGAAAGCTCCCTGCGTGCATTTGTTATTCAGCTGTTAACTTGTGTTTTTTTGCAGAGAGAACAGCAGAGGGAGCCTCCAGGGCCCCCTGCCTGGCCCACTCCCAGTTTCACAACGATACTTGGGAAGGAAATAACAAAATGAAGAGGCCTAAAGTCTACGATTGCTCAAAGTAGAACTTCCTGGTGGAAAGGCAGAGAGACCATCTCTGTTTCCTGCTGGAGACCCTGATCCCATTAGGTGGTGTGTCGCCTTCCCAGAGCATCTGGCCGGCCCCTTTCCCAAGTTCTGTAAATTATTAACTGGGGCGGTTCTGGAGACTTTTCATTAAAAAGGCCATGATATAAGTACAAGTCCCCTGAGTGGGCAATCAGGGATGTGCGCAGCATTCAGACAACTCCCCCCCCCCCC